AGTTGTTGCTATCTTTTTTTAAGGTGTTAAACGACACAAGTCCTAGGAATTTCCGTCCTGATGTTGACGACGTTATTTTGTTGCTATTGCTAAGGAACGGAACACGCGATATCAGTTTGAAAGATGAAAAAAGGCTCCTAAATGAATGCATAAATGTTGAAAAGAATGTCACAATTGTTGGTTTAACAGGCGACATTTCAGGAAAGTTCAACTTTCCAGGCTATATATTTCTTGTCAAAAGACGACCGACACCAGAGCGAATGTTTGAAGTAAAATTAGCCACGTTGGAAAATGTTTTGAATGAAACGATCGATGTTTGCTGCACGTCATTCGGTAAGCATTGGTGAATGTTTTGTGTTTATGTGTGATTTATATACAAATGCAGTTTTTCGCCAATAAAATACTACATGTCATATAATGATAAACTTTTATTAGCCTACTACAAGATTTTATTTAGATATTTCGCGGTAAAGACCTCGTGCCCAGTTAAAAACTTAGTTTTTCTTCTCTTCGGTTTTTTCGAGGATTTCCGATATCTTATGAGTAGATTCTAATTTAGCTATGTCTAAAGATGATGTAAAGTCTGTTCGGCGCATATATTCTGCGCATAACAATGTTTGTTTACGTTTGTTATATAATCTTTACATGACGTATGTGTCGTTTTAATTTTCGTTATTTTCTTCTCGTTCTCGCTCGACCGGCTGTGATGAATATGCTTACTTCATTTTATATTTTGAAGAAGATATAAAGGGAAGCTTGTAAATAAACCATTATTTAAATTTTATATATTTGTAATTGTAGAACAAGCGAGAAGGTAGCGTCTGTAGCGACGACAAATAACCTCGCCATGTCGTGTCCTCATTCAACAAATAAATTCTTGAAGCATTCCTTTCAGCATAATATTGCTTTTTTCTAACGGCCTTATCTTCTTCACTCACAATTCGAGCCTCTTCGCCATAAAATAAAATAATTGTGCTCCCAAACTGTCCGTTTGTAATACAACGCGCTAATATCGCATATCATTAACATTCCGAAAGTTGCTCTCCCACTGAAGGAATGTGTTGCTGCGCGGAATATATGCGCAGAACGGACTTTACATCATCTTTAATTTCTCTTAATCCAGGTAAATGCGAATGTAAAAATGGTGGAATTTATGAGTTTACTGCATATATTAAACCCGGAGCACATACTGGATTGGTCAATTGGACAATACCGGAAGTCACATGTTCTGATTATGAGCGAGGCCAGGTTGATCCACCTTATGACGCATCTCCTGCAAATTTGTTACTGGGCAAGCACGTGATCACCTACCCGTACTCGTATAAACGTGATGGCAAAGTGGTTCAATTTAAATGTTTTGTAAATTTAACTGTTGTCCGTAAGTATTTATAACATTTCTCTTTCTGATGTAACACACTTCAAGTATGTTTGAAACACCGCAAATTTTTTACCATTAAGTTATTTAAGATTTATGATTCAATATCATTTTACTTTCTCATTTAGCTTGTTCATGTCCATGCCCACAAACTGTTACGAGGATTGTGAGCAATCAAAGAGAAAAAGCTTTTGTCATTTGGTTAGAGCCTAAACCCAGATGCCCGACAACGCCAAGGGCAGGCAATCCTAACACAACCAGTGGATGGTTCTCTGTTGGTAATTACACGCGGAGCTACAACTACAGTTTCATGAGCAACTATCCGACATTTCCTATTGAATGCCATGTAAGAATTATTATAGCAGGTATGTTAATAGACAACTAATGTCTTTTGCTCTCATTTAGTATCTGTATCTCATTCGAAATTTAAGATATACAACATCGAGGCTGGCGCGCATAACGGGGACTTGCATGTGGCAAGTGGCAACTGAATACAGGAATACATTTATAATCCATATTTATGTACACCGACTAGATTTCATGGCTATATTCAAACACATTGATAATAATGTGTTTGATATTTTTTTAGTCCCAAAAAAAATGCTTGGGAAGTGCATGTTCATTATCACAAATTGTTTCCCAACTTCCGTGGTTAGAAAATCATTCATCTGTATTCAGTTTTTCAAGCAACTAGTATATAAACACTTTATTTCAGAATCAAAATCAAACAAAAATTAATTAGCCTAATTCATGTTAATCTAACCCTGTAAAAAGCAACAAACAATTTCGTTGTTTTGAGTGGAATTTGAGATCGCATCTTTGGGTATCTAGACCGCTGTTCTACCTTAATGAGCAACCTTTTTTCAAGTTTTTTTTGACAAATCTTCTCTGACGTATTTCATTGGATCTGTTATTATTTTTCGTGTTTTATTTGGTGTAATGTTTTTTATAAGAGTTTTATGAAAGAGTTGCGAAATCGCCAATCAGTCTGATTAACAGTTTCTCTCGTTAAAATTTCGCGCATGCATATAGAATTTGGATAACTTTGGACTCCGCTATATTTTATCACAATACCCTGGTGTAATTCTTATAATCGTTGTGTTTGCGGTATAGAAGATGCAGTTTATTTGCACATGAGCTTGATACGTTTTCAAAGACGTAATTGACCATGAAAGGCTTTTACAACACCATCGCTTTATAACGTGCATGTTATATTATAAAATTATGTTAATGAAAAACCTACTATTAACAAGCTATTATGACTGTGGACTGCAATTAATTTGCAGGGGCTAGTTTTATAAACAACTAGTTCACTTTTAGTTAACAAATCAGAGTTGTGTATTTCTGAGTTAACCATGCAGGGCCGGTATTGTGAAAGCCGGATAGCGCTATCCACCGGATGGTGTGTTTTCAATCCCTTTATAACTTCCCATTGTTGGGTATAACCTTTGATTAAACTTAGTATTTATAAATTGGGGATCCTCTTTAAAAAATTGATGGTTGCAAAATTGAAATTTTAGTGCTTTTCAAGGAATCTTAGAACGGTTGAAAAATCACTATCCAGTGGATAGCGCCATCCAGCCTTCGTACGACTGGCCCCAGGATTTAACTATGAAAAATGTAGTTACAAGATTTTTACAACCAACCCCAGCACATAATATAAGACTAAAACTTAATCACTTAACAATTATAATTTAAGAATAGCTATAATTGTTTTTAATACAGTTTAACATTATAAAAGTGTTTCTGCAGCGATTGGCTTTTCATTCCAACATTATAAAATGTCTATTCTCTCCCAAATCATATGGAACGTAAATTGAAGCAGGCTATAATTTGAACAGTTTTTTTTCGCTTTTATCAATACTAGAGTTATTGATGCCCTTGACTGCACCTGGATCTGAAAATATATTCTGCGACATGGTTAATGACTTTTTTTAACTCACGTCAATAATTTTCCAACTAGGGGCGCTTTCCTTTAAGCAGCTAAAATTATCAGAGCGGTAATAATTTGAATTGAAATCGTTAAGAATATAGCGGTAAAGCTGCATTTTTCGCGATAAACGGATGTAAATATCAATAAACGTGAATGCAAAATACCAGTATTCTGTCTGTACTGAAATACAACAGCGGCTGTTTTTACCGTATAAAGGAAAGCATCCTAGGATTACTAATACTGCCAGCAATACACTTGATTTACTTTTAACAGATATTCCTGAACAGTTTATGTACATTTGATTGTCAACCTAATACAGACCATCTTGGATTTTCTTTCTTCGTGAGAACAACAATGACACGGGTAAAACATTCACGTTACGTTTATAACTTTAATTAAGCTGGTTTCACCGGATTGTGGACATTGGCCTTAATAGTAATAATATAAACCTATGTTTCTAAAATTGGAGAGTTACAACTGTTGATATGTTCACCCTAAATTCAAGATCAGTGATGCGAGGTCGCCTAAGTGGATTGATGGGGAAGATATCAGTCTTTCCAAGCGTAAAGATAAGCTTTGGAGGTTAGCAAAAAGTTCAAAATCACCAGGCATTACGTTCTGTACTTGAAGATTTTGTAATGTTTTTATGTTTTTTAAAGCATCAGGTTAATATTTTAACAGCAGTTGAGCTGGTAGGGTCTATAAAACGCCTGCGGAAAATAGGTGACGTTAACTTTATGACTATATTTTCAACCCTAACACTATTGAAAGAAATATTGACTACCATGCATTGCCATGCACTGAGTCATTTCATAATTTAAACTTATATTTATAGCCAATCTAGGTCTAGCTCGTCATGAAGATTATTTCTTTGGTTGGAAATAGCGAGGGATGCTGCATTGTATCATTATGAATAGTTAATAATACAATATCATAATAATTCCGCTCGGTGATTAGGAATTACACCCGAGTATTGTGGGAGAACATAGCGGAGTCCAAAGTTGTCCAAATTCTTTTTCATGGTCGTCATAAGAATTAAAAACAACACTATCATAATTATGATAGCATATATCTCTTAGTTGTGTAATTTATAATCTCTATGATAGACGTTGGATTGTTTTATTGGTTAGGCGCATGCGCGAGATTGGAACCAGGAAAGACTGGTAAGCAAAATTATTACTTTATGAGCAAGCAAATAGATCAAGCAAGCAAATAGAGCAAGCAAGCAAATAGAGCAAGCAAATAGATCAACAACTCAAATCTTTTGATTTTGATTTGTGAATTTTTGAACAGATTACACATGCATAGTTATACACATGCACATTCACGCTGATATAACTGTATAATTATATAAGGACGTTTTGACACCGAGGGAAACATTTCCCTATACGAACCGACTAAACTGGTAAAAAATAGATTTTTTTGTGCTTTTTTGATATTTCTCTGTGCTTTTAAATCTCGCGCGGTCCGTACGGCCTCATACGGACCGCTCGCGTAGCCAATCAGATTGCAGGAAACGCTAAAATATGAATTCGGACCGCAAGAAAAAAAATAAAAAAGGTTATCATATTAACAGGTCAACCGATCCTGAATGTTTTTGTATTTTAAACAATCGTAACCCCAACTCTTTTTTAAAATTATAAGTTGACTAAATGGTGAGTGCGACTTCCCTTTCCTTTGCAGTTCAGACATGCACTGATTCCTGTATTTCGCAGGATGATACTTCAGACTACCATTGTTATCATCCTTCCAAATATACTTGTCCACCTGGCAAAAGATGCTGTTACTACCTGACACCAGATTGGTAAGTACCATTGTAAACTCTCTAGTTATTTTATTATCAGAAGGGAATAAAGCTTTACAGGGTGTAAAAAAAAGTTTACATTTGGTGAATATCTTCAAGGCGTATGCACCCAAGCACTCGTGGTTAGAAAAATCATTTACTATGCACGTGTCGATAGCTTGAGACGTTCGGACACAACTTTCACAGAAGGTTTATTAAATATACTTTTTTAGCAGGTTAAAAAAGAGGTTGGTTTAGCGGCTGATTAAAAACGGCTTGCGCACAAAAATGAGTAAATGCAGTTGACATGACGAAACGTTCACCAAACTAGGTTAAAAGCCCTCTCACTAAAGGAAGATAACTATAACATCGTTAAAGTATGTTCCATGCTGCAAATATGAAATCTATCCCATATATAAGGGTGTAGTTAATTTTCCACAGAACGACACGCTCTTTGGGAGCAAAACTTGAATAAATAATTTAAAAAGTTGAAATTTCCTCCAACCGGGGTGTAAATATATTTTGCCCTATTTTTAAGGTAAAAATTACCCTCTGTAGTAGGGCAAAAGGCCTTTGGGAATGTCTATAGTGCACATTTGAGATTGAAATTTAGTGATGATGAAGAAGATTTTGCCCATTTTTGCAATTGTAAAAGAGATATGCATTGCTCAGGAAAATTTGAGAAATGCTTAGTAGATGATTGAACAACTTGAAAACATCGTCTAATTCACACTTCAATGCATGTGAATGATGAAGTAAAAGAGTCTAGAATTGGTTCTCCTAAAACAAAATATTATTTATGGCTTTCCAATACATCTATATATATAATGTCTATTCCCTATGAAGAAATCTTTGTCTTTCCAAAGTACCAAATCCAAGCTGATTAGAATGCCAGCCAAATACGAAGTTGACAAATCAATTCATATACCGACAATACATGAACTATAGACTATAGAATAATTATAGTGTGTATATATTAGCACTATTATGTATCTTATAAAGTATTTTTTAAAATAACGAAAAGGAGATGCATGAAACGTCTATAAAATTTCTGACCTTTTGCTATTATTATACAGTATGTATTTATACATAGACAGAGGACTCACAAGAGTCTGTCAAGTCATGAGTCTGTAAAGAATATCAAGACTGGTTAGATCACTACGGTTTTATGGTATTTTGGTCGATATTAACAACTAACTTGCATTAATTTATTTTGATCATTTTTCTCGTAATTTCGTCAATAATAAATATATACTATAAATACGATTACTAAAAAGCAGCGACGCCGGGTGACATTAGCTCAATCATTCATCCACAACACATTAACTTGTATTTTCAAAAGATAAACACGGACGCGAACTATAGCTATAATATATCTCTTCAACCGCTATCAATTCCGGCAGGCACCCGAGTTACTAGCATTGATGTGTTTACTGTCAAAAGATTATCTGACGAAAGTTGTTCAAAAGCAGGTTAAATTTAACCCTGTGTTAGTGCTAAACCTGGGTTAAAATCCTTAACCCTAGGCTAATCAAACCTGGGTTAAAACAGTGTTGTTAAAAGCAGGGTTATATAGCGGTAGGGTTAGTTAACCCTCGGTTAAAATATTTAACCTAGGATTAAATGTATTTCAAGGACTAAATTGGATATAAGATGGCTTTCGATTGGTCGAAAAATTATATGCCGTGAGTGTAGGGTCGCAGGGGCGTTTTTTTGAACAGCAATTTCCGTGCATGGAATTTTCGAAAGATTCGAAATGAAAAGCCATTTTGTATGATAAACAATGTCGATGTGAAATAAAATTAAGCAAATTATAAACAATCTGTTTTAAAATTTCAGGCATTCTTTGATTATTCAAAATTCAGGAACAAACGTAGCCTTACCACTTGCTGCCAATGAAGAGAATCGAATTTTGGCATCCGAAACAAATATTTCGATTACGATGTTTCAATTTGTACCGTTGTATTTATTTATCTTTTAAACCGAACGAAGTCAAACTTAAATAATTCTTTGCGTCGAAATTGTTCGTAAAACCTTTCAAAAGTGTTTAATTCATGAAGAATAAGACGTGTTTACGAATACGTGTTTCAGCTCCCTAATTATTCATTCAAGCTTACCCAGGATTAAAACGTTAACCCACCTCGCTAGCAGGGTTAATTTTTTATCAATTTTAACCCAGGATTAACGCTAAGCGAGCTTTGTGCAACGTAAATCAACCGAGGTTTAAAATTAAACCCTGGGTTAGGGACTTTTAACCCTGGGTTAGCGTCACCGGCTTTTAAACAACCGGCCCCTGCACCATGTCCTGTTGGGATTCCATATTAGTGAGTTTAAAGTGCCTATATCACTTGTGGGATCTTTACGGATTTGAATAGGGCTTGAAAAAAAAGTTTATAAATTCTACAACCTTTTTTGATATAAATAAATAGTTTCGAAAATACGTCGGTTGGGGGGACTGGGACTCAGGAATGATTTGCAAACACGCCGTCTTTTATAATGTAAACATGAAGAGTTTCACTGGCGATATAGTTTGCGCTTTTCAAGAAAAAAATGCGGGAACGGTGCGTTGTATATGGCTGTAGCAACTGGGCGAGTTTTTCTCAAAATATTTTACGTTATTGGAAGATCAAAGTAAAATTACAATTGTTATGTTTGACAAGAACTCGGTTCCTGAGTCCCAGGCCCCCGATCACGACGGAAATTTAGGCAAATCGTCATGTTTAGATGTAAATATTTCCGAAACTATTTAACTATATCAAAAAGGGTTGTAGAACTTATAAACTAATTTTTCAAGCTCTATTCATATCCGTAAAGATCCCACAAGTGATATAGGCACTTTAAGATTCACCAAATCTACGACGCGGACGTAAGTAATACGGCTCTAATTTCTACAGTTTCCCAACACGGATGGAAATTGTCAGTCTAGTCCCTAGGCCTCTTATACGTTCCTTATACACGCGGTGAGGCGGGAACTGATAGGCCTTCAACAAAACAGGACTTCGAAATATTCATACAAAAATAACGTTGCAATGTCGTTCGCTGTCAGGGCAAGCTTCACTTCGAAAGTTGTGTGAGACGTCTCATGTTATATTTCATGGCAATTAACAATTAAAATAATTTACCTTAACACGGACTATAGATGAGTAATTTTATTTCCAGTAACTTTATTTTCACAAAAATATGAGCTAGGGTAAACTCTTATATCTTTGGCACACCCAGGTTCTCTGTTCAATATCAAGAACGTTTAACCCGGGCAAATCTGCTTCCTCTTTCGTACTTGCATGAAACCAAGGACTTACCTTTACATTTCATTTTCAGGGACTGCAAATATTGCCAAATAGATGATTGCTTCCAAGGGTAAGAGAATGGAAGAGAGAGAGAGAGAGAGAGAGAGAGAGAGAGAGAGAGAGAGAGAGAGAGAGAGAGAGAGAGAGAGAGAGAGAGAGAGAGAGAGAGAGAGAGAGAGAGAGAGAGAGAGAGAGAGAGAGAGAGAGAGAGAGAGAGAGAGAGAGAGAGAGAGAGAGAGAGAGAGAGAGAGAGAGAGAGATGGATGCTTAACCAATTCATTTCGAATTTCTATTTAAGGATATGTTTAACAAGATAAAGTAAAGATTTATAAAGTAAAGATAAAGTAAAGATTTATCTAACAGGTGTCTCAACAAGTACGATCGTGCTATAGTGGACCAGGAACTGCGTAACCGAGTTTAATTTCTGAGCTGTATTGTATTTATAACTTTGGAGAGGACAATGTATATCTAATCGTTTGCGTTTACTTATATATATATATATAGGCTGAATATTGATGATATGTATGTATTTTTGCTGCAAATATATCAAGAATTGCTTGTAACTTGCTTCAAAGGAAAAAAGTAAAAATTCGAACTCCGTCAATCGATGCAGAATATTGCTTAGAATAATTGCGCCAAGTTTCATTCCGATCAAACAAGTAATGCTAGAGCCTTAGGGGTTTTTTAAAGAGCGTCGCCCCCTAACAACAACAACAACAACAACAACAACAACTACAACAACAACAACAAGATTAGCTGCGGTTAGGGACCAGTTCCTGGTCCAAAAAGTACTTATTCAGTGGTTACAGGAAAGACCAACTTACATTTTTATATGTTATAGTTGTGCTTCAATTTTGTTGAATTTCATGGAGATATTACTTTTCAAAATCAGTATATTATTTGTCAAATAATTAATAAACAATAATACGCTGTTTAAAAATGATAATAATTAAGCTAAGCTTTGCACTATGAACAGCAGACATTTAAAAACTGTTGCATTATGCAATATCGCTAGAAATTCTGACGATAATTTTTTGAAATAATTATAAGTTAGGAAAATGCCCAAGGGTTTCTTAAATGCGAGCAATGCTTCTCTCATTATTTGCTGCTATGCTGCGATTTTGGCGTTATTTAAACACATCTAAAAAATTAATAGGCTCACATCTCCGTGAAATTTTAGGTAAAATATAATTGTAATATACCAAAAGCTAAGACAATGTTCGCTCTGAAAACCATTAATTACCAGCAGACAATTTGATAAAATGCAAGAAAAAACACTCCGCAAAATGACATCTTGTAAACTCAAGATATCAGCTTTAGACAACAAAAAAACGTAAGGTGATATCTCGACTTTATTTCAAAGTCATTTGTGAAACCAGAATAAAGTATTTACAAGCTTGCTATCATATTATATACATAGAGACAAGAAGAGATGACGTCATAGTGTAACACTATAACTATTAACAACCCATGTTTAGACGCGTTTAGAACATTATTTAGCACTGGTTTTCTATATTTAATGTATAAAGCTTCACGGAATAGCATACGGTTAGAGTTTGCGTGTTGTATCAGGTTTCTTTGCGGTATCATTGTCATTTGTGTCATTAAGGTTGTCAAAGAGGTGGTGCAACTTAAGGATGTAATTAACGTGTTCACATTCCAACAAGTATTTAGCCATCGAACTTTTTTGTGGATCTGCATGTTCTGATAAACGGGTATCGAAGTTTCTTTCTGTTTTGCTACCGTGTTATCGCGCAGAGTTGGGTCTTTTTAGGTAAAAATATGAAACCTTCTTAGTGTCATAAAAAAAATACCACAAATTTAATCGGCTGTATGATATTCCGCTGTATTTTCCTGATGCGTTTTTCAACTAGAAATTATCCCTGTCTGCCCAGAAAAGGTATTCTAATCCAAATTTTAGGTCTGGTATCTTCAATGGTGTTGTGTTCGCTAGCATCTGCCTTAGATTTAAAGGCCGGCGCACACTAGAGCTATGTGCTTAGCAGAATGTCATTCGTGGCCATTGGCGTAAGCCAGTTGCTCTCATGTGCGGGCTACTTTTCAGGCGACTTTGGTCATTCGTGCCACTTACGGCAAATATCTAGCATGTTTGATAATTTCTGCCTCGCGTGCCGAAATCTTTCCGTGTGCGGCAAACTGAAAGCTATCGGCTTATGGAGTGTCTTAACAGCGCATGCGTAATATACGAAAGTATACATCCAAGATGGCGGACAGACTTGCAAAAACAAAATTATGGATGGAAGGGAAGACAAAGAGGTGTTGTTATTTTTGTTGCTGTTGCGTCGGACTAGACTAGACTTCCGCTTTAAACACCGTTATCCAAGTGTTATTAATTATATTACCTGTTTGAGAAAGCTTACTAGTTATTTATGCAATAGCGCATTCCGGTTTCTCTCTGTATCTAAAATCTGTAGAATTCACATCGTATAAACACCTGTATTCTGGCCAAAGATCAACCAGTTTGTCTTCCAATATGGCCTCAGCCACCAATTCGTTTTGCTTTGTTAGCACTGCTATCTTGGATGTTTACTTTCGTATATTACGCATGCGCTGTTAAGACACTCCATAAGCAGATAGCTTTCAGTTTGCCGCACACGGAAAGATTTCGGCTTGCGAGGCAGAAATTATCAAACATGCTAGATATTTGCCGTAAGTGGCACGAATGACCAAAGTCGCCTGAAAAGTCGCCCGCGCACGAGAGCAACTGGCTTACGCCAATTGCCACGAATGAATTTTTGCTAAGCACATAGCTCCAGTGTGCGCCGGCCTTAAGTCAACTGGTACTTGTTTGCGAGTTTGAAAACTGAACAATTCTTGTCTTGTTGCCCATATCTCATATCTTGAGTTTACAAGATGTCATTTTTCGGAGTATGTTTTTTTTGTATGTTCCCTTTATGTAATAGAATTTATTTCAGTGTAATGGCTTCACTGGCTAAAAAGTTTTTATCTTATCAAACCCGGACAATTCGGACACCCGGCGGTAGAAATTTTGCAGAAAATGTCCGATAGAAAATTAAATGAGAATTACGAAAGTGATAGCAAGAGTCCTCTATGCTTATAATACAAGTCCATGCTTTTATTATTATTAATAATATTCTATTATTATTCTAATCGCTTATTGAAGATATTAAAAAATATAGCCCCGTTTACGCTACACTCAATTTATCGAAGTACCCGTGCACATTTAATCCGTGCTCAGCCTTTGTATTGTTAGTTTGAGCACTAATAAAGTTGGGTACGCGTGTCTATTTAGCCGTGCCTTGCCAAAAAATTTAGTGTAGCGTAAACGGGATTATATGCCATTGCATGTCACTGATGTCAGTATTTATTATAGCCATTATTAATATTCATATCCATACAATTATCAAGTATAGCTAATTGTAAATTTAATCTACCTTTAAAAGAGACATTTACAGTAAGTATTCAGAGAAAATTTAATAAAATTTTCATTCGTTTTCTCAAAAACATGCGTTATTGAAAATGTCGATCCAGTAGTCATTCCATACATTTTTAAATGTACACAAGTCAAATACATATGTCCTCTAACTATATACTTGAAAGGCTTATATACACAATGCCATGCCCAATTAACATATACATATATTAACATCTTTCTCCTCCCAAAAAAAACTATAAGATAATTAAATAAATTATTATACGCCCGTAAGAAAAGTATTATAATAAAATAATAACAAACCTAATGTACTATTTTCATTGTTCCTATTTCACCGGTCAAATTATAATAACAATTTATATCAGGTTCAACCTAATATATAGTCTTTATATTTACTAGGTTTATTACGAACTCTACCCGATCTTCGTAATAAATTTGTTCCTTCATTTATTCGTTCTTCTATTCCGGGCACCGTACCAGAGCTTTCACCACACACACCTTCGACATTTTTTTCCACCAGAATATCTTCACCATCACTTTCCGGCAACGAAATGACGTGACCTCTGTATCTTGATCGACTTGTTTTTCTAACTTCACCTTATGTACGTGTTTACGATTACGCCGCACTAATCCTAACGGCGTCTGCATAACACACGACCTTTAATCAGGTTTCTCAACTTGGCTATGATGCTTTCTTATCATATTGGATCTTTAACTGCCTTCTTCTCTTCCTAATATCTTCCTTAACCAAAGAATCATCAACTGAACGTGGTCGTAACCGCGCCGATATTGCTGGAATAATATCCCTTAATCTTCGCGACATCAATCTTTCAGCAGGCGAATATGTGCATGTATCCTTGTTGTGGAGTATTGCGATATGCTAGCAACGCCAGATATGGATCTTCATGTCCAGACTTCTTCAAGATCTTTTTCGCCACTTTAACCGCCGATTCCGCTTTACCATTGCCTTGGCTGTAGTAAGGGGAGGATGTCACTGATAAAAATCCGTACTCTTTCGCGAACGATTTGTATTCAAAACTCACAAACTGTGGCCCATTATCAATAACGCACTCCTTCGGGATTCCATGTCTCGCAAAATTCTTCTTCATGGCTTTAATAACTGTATTGGCAGTAGTATTCTTCAGGGGCTGTTATATTATTTGTGCTGTTTTGATGTTTTGATGGTTTAGCTATAATGAAGTATCAACTCTCACTTAAACAGTGAAAATCTATAACTTAATGCAACAGAAAGAGGCAGGAAATTTCTCTGTAATACTTTCCGATGCGAATAGTTGGGTTTCACAGTTTCACTCAAGACTAATACATAGCGAAACACTTGGTGGTCAACTTCACACATATTGCTGAATTATGCCTTGTGGAAGTGAGCAAATTTCGTTAAATTGCACATAACATCTACTCAACATGAGGTCAAAAGCTACGATGAATATTTTATTTGATTTGATAATTAATATTTTTCCATCAGGAGTTACCCACCAAGTGCTAAATCTGTCACGTGACTGAAACCCTGCTATATCATACTCTTGCATCACATGACATCACATTGCTAATAAATAAATAAATTACTTGGTGTATATCAAACATTTAACGATTATTTAACAACACCATGCATGCAAAACTTTAACAAAGAACATATCACATAATTTCATAATCATAAATATGTATGAATATGATATCAAGGAATATCACACTACACACAAATAATACCGTCGTTTGGTACGATACGGGAAATATTGGCTGGGATGAAATGTTAACTTGCCAATAGATGAAAAATTTCATCCTTACCAATTTTATCAAGTTTGCACGATTTAAGTTGAGGTTTGGTAAGAACAAAGTTGAGATTCGAATTCCACCTATAAATAGATGGTCCGAATTTAATTCGTACCAAAACTCCTAAATGCAGTGTAGTGTAGCTTGTTCTTAAATTTTCTAAGTTGTTCTATTTATTGCTGCTATTCTTCAACTCGTTATTATGCAAGATGATGCAACA